GGTTCTGGGACTTGAACCCGGGTCCGCTGCAAGAGCAGTCAGTGCTCTTAACTACTGAGCCATCTCTCCAGCCCCATTATTTACTTTTTTGACCAAGTCTACACATAATTATTCCCCCTATCATGTCAAAGAGTTCAGAAATCTGGAGTTGATAGAAAGCCCATCAGGATAGCTATGTTCTGGATAGGGGAGGAGGGTAAAGTGAGCCATTTGGTACTTTATGTATGCATGTGGGCACATGTGTGAGCCTTCCAGAAAAAAAACTATTTTGTTGAAATCGATTTTGATTCTGAAAATGTCTTTCCTAGTTTAATGTAATTATTTGTGTTTTTTTTGAGATAGGATCTTACTGTGTAGCCATGATTGGCCTGGAACTTACATGTGTATAAGGCTGACATTGAGTTTACAAAGATCCAGCTACCTCTGTCTCCTAAGTTCTGAGATTAAAAGCATGTGCCACCATGCCTAGCTAGTTTTTTTTTTTTTGTTTTGTTTTAAATATTTATTTTACATGTGTAAGCGTTTTGCCTGCATATATATGTGTGTACCACATGTGTGTCTGATGAACAGAGGCTCTAGAAGAGGGTGTCGAATTCCCCTTGCAATAGAGTTAACATACGGTTTTTGAGACAGGGTCTCACTATGTGGACCTGGCTAGCCTAGAACTCATGTAGTCCATGCTGGCATCAAATTTGAGCTTACTGTATAACTGAGAACAACCTTAACTTGTTTCTCTTGAACTAATTTTTTTTCTCTCTGTGTATATGTAGGAGTGTTTGTGTGTAGGTGTGTTTTAAGGATTTATTTAACCTGGATGAATGTTTTGCTTGCATGTATATAAGTGTACCATATGTGTACATATGTGGAGGTCACAAGAGGGCTTTTGGATCCCCTGGATTTGGAGTTATAGACTGCTGTTATTCACCCTGTGGGTGCTCCGAATCAAACCTGGAGTCTTCTAAGAGAGCAGCCAGTGCGTGCCCTTAACCCCACTGAGCAATCTCTCAAGCCCATTTTTGTTACCTTTTGTTTTTGTTGTTTTTGTTTTATTTTAATTTACTCTGCGTGTGTGTGTGTGTGTCTGTGTGTATACATATGAGCCACAGTGTACGTGTAGATGTTACAATATAGACTTGTGAGAGTCAGTGCTCTCCTTCTACCTGTGGTTTCCAGGGATCAAACCTAATTTGTCAAGCTTGATGGCAAACAGCATTACTTGCTGAGCTATCTTGCTGACTCTGACTAAACATCTGATCCTTCTACCTCCATTTTCCTTGTGCAGGGGTCATAGGTCTGTACTACTTCATCCAGTTTATGCAGAGCTTAGGAACTTGGGGTCTCTGCACATCATATAAGCACTCTACCAACCAAGCTATACCTCTAACCCCTGCACCCAGATTTCAGCTCTTAATTTTTAGAACAAGTTTGTAAATACCATCGAAATATCTCTGAGTCAAGCAAGAGATAAGTGATAATATTTAAGGGTTTTTTTGTTTGTTTTTTGAGACAGTATCTGATCATGTATCTTTGGCTAGCCTGGAACTTGATAGGTAGACAAGGCTGTCTGGAACTGGATTCCAGGATAACCAGGGCTACAATAGTGAAACCCTGTCTCCAAAATAGGAAAAATTTCTGACTGGATATGATAGTATATACCTCTAATCCCAATATTTAGGAGGTGGAAACAGAAGGAACACAATTTCAAGCCCAGCCTGGGTTACATAATGAAGAAGTTGTTCAAAAAAAGAAAAGGAAAACATTTTTCTTAAAGTTAATAAATTCCGTGTTCTTGGTTGGTACAGTGACTCAGTGAGTAAGGGTTCTTGCCACCAATCCTGAAGATTAGAACCCACATGGTAGGAGAGATCCAACTTACACAAATTGTCCTCTGACCTCCATATGCATGTTGTGCCTTGTGCCACTCACCCCATAAAAATTCCATGTTCTTTATTAACAAACACTTCGATATTTGAGGCAGGGTTTCTATGTAGCTCAGCCTGACCTTACACAATCTTCCTACCCTAGTTTCCCAATTGCTGTGATTACAGGCAGGTGCTACTTCATCTGGCATGAACCCCGCCTCCCTTCTTTTTGAGGCAAAGTCTCACTATATAGCTCCTGTCTTACTGAGACATTATAGAGATCTCCCTGCCTCTGCTGCTCAAGTGTTCGGATTAAAGGTGTGTACCACCATGTCCAGCGACATAAAATGTTGTCTTAGAAATGCTTACATTGGGGGCTGGAGAGGTGGCTCAGCAGTTAAGAGCACTTGACTGCTCTTGTAGAGGACCCAGATTTGGTTCCCATCACCCACATGGCAGTCTAACTCCAGTTCCAAGGGGTTTGATGCCCTCTTTGTCCTCCACTGGAATTGCATGACAAGTGCAGATACATACATGCAAGCAAACTACTCATACACATTAAAAAAGATATTGTAAGGGATAGGCCAGTTCTTAAGGCTCCAGGAAGTTTTTTTTTTTTTTGTCTTTTTTTTAAGACAGGGTCTCCCTATAGCCCCAGCTGGTCTGGAACTCACTGTGTAGACCAGGCTGGCTTTGAACTCACAGAGATGCACCTGCCTCTGCATCCCTGGGTTGGCACCTTTTTTTTTTTTTTAAATATAGCCACATATCTGAAAGTTTGAGTATGTTGGTGGAGTGGCTAGAATTCTTAGGTTCTTTCCATTTTCTCATTACATGAAAGAATACCAAAGACTAGTCTAGTTTATTTGTAGGCATGAATTAGTATGCTGCCTGTAGATGTCTTACCGTTTTTGATGATATGCTTGACATAAAATCTACTATTTAATCATAAGTAAATTAGAAGATCTTTGTTTTTAATTGGGGGCTGGAGAGATGGCTTGGTGTTGAGTGATTGGTGCTCTTGCAGAGGACCTGAATTTGGTTCCTACCACTCACATCTGGTGGCTCTTGACAGCTTGTATCTCTGCTTCCATGGGATCAAACACCCTCTTTTAAAAATTATTTTTATTTTATGTATATGAATATTTTGGGTGCATTATGTAAGTGCACCCATGTGTGCATAGATACCCTCTTTTGACCTACACAGGCATCTATACATAGACAAACATAGGTAGACATAAATTTAAAATCTGTTTTAAAAATTGGATTTGTCAGCCGGGTGCGGTGGCACAAGTCTTAAATCCCAGCACTTGGGAGGCAGAGGCAGGCGGATCTTTGTGAGTTCGAGGCCAGCCTGGTCTACATAATGAGTTCCAAGCCAGCTGTGGCCACAGGGAGACCCAATCTCAAAAAGACAAAAAATAAAAATTGGATTTGCCAGGCTTGGTGGCACATGCCTTTAATCCCAGTACTGGGGAGGCCGAACTAGGCAGACTGCTGTGAGTTCAAGGCCAGCCATGGCTAGATAGTGAAACCCTAACTCCAAGCAAAACAAAGCAAAGAGATCCAAAATTTGACTGTTTTTCCAATTTCTAGAAAGCTGTCTTCAGTTTTTCTTTTCCATACTAAGTACTATAATTTACTGGTTATGTGAGCCCTACCAGTACCTTAGTAAGTCTGAAATTGCTTCTTGGACTTTCTTACCTTTTTAGTCTAAGAGGTGTTAGTTTCTGTGGTCAGTGATCATTGTAGTCTATTTCCAAGAAGCTAGAATAATTGTGTATATTTTTCAGTACTTCTGATTTCCAATTTAGTTATAAAACACTGATAGTATTTTATCTTCCTGAGTTCTCCAGCTTTATAATAAAGCCTTTTAACTCTTGTTTCATGAATTGTATGAGTTACAGTAATATTTTGTGACTTTTAGAGCTCCATACATTTTATTGTTTTGTTTTTTTCAGACAGGATCTCATGTAGTTTTTCACATCAAACTTGTAATATAGTTAGGGATAACCTCTAACTCTTGTTTTCTGTTCTTGTTTGTTTTTATTTTTCTTTCTGAGGTAGGCTCTTACTGTGTAGCCCTGGTCGGCCTGGAACTTGCTCTGCATACCAGACTGGCCTTCATTTTAAAGATATCCACCTAGCTCTTTCTTAGGAATGCTAGGATTAAAGGTGTGTGCCACCATACCCACCCTGAGCCTCTAACCTCTTGATCCTTCTGCCTGTACCTCCTCAAGCTTGGGTCCCCATCCTCCCTACCCCATACTACCCCTACCATATACTGAGGATTTATCAGGGCCTGGCATCACTAAGTTCCCTGGGCTGACTTGGAACTCATTTTGTAGTCTAGACTTGCTTTGAACTTTTAATCCATCTTCCTTAACCTCTGAAATAGCTAGAATTATTAGGCCCAAGCCAGTAGGCCCAGCTGTGAAAGAGTTTGATGAAAGAACTAAAAGTAATAGTTTTTTATTGTTGTTTCTTTGTTTCATAAGACAGGATCTCATTCGACATGTAGCCCAGAGTGGCCTGGCACTCTTGATCCCTCCTACCTTATTTTCTGAAGTATTGGAATTACAGAAGTATCCCATCATGTCCAGCTAAAATTCAAATTTATCTTAAGCTGTGGTAAACTGTTTCTCTTATATTACAGTTTCACATATGTGTGATTTTTGTTTTGAGACAGGGATCTGTCCCAGAATTCATTATATAGACCAGACTAGCCTCCAACTCACAGAGGTCCACCTGCCTGAGTGCTAGGTTTAAAGGGCGTACACCACCACCTGGCCTTTTTTTTTCCAAGTAAAATCCTCATACATGATGCTGTTGGAGTTCGGTCTTTAGCACCTCAGAAAACGTAAAATCTTTATAATCTTTTAATAGTTGGGTATCATAATGTTATATTTTTCTTTTATTTTGGTCTTTTGTTTTGAGACAGGGTCTCTTTGTAACCCCAGCTGACCTGGAACCCTATGTAGACCAGGCTGGTCTCGAACTCACAGAGATACGCCTACATCTTCCTCTAAGTGCTGGGATCAAAGGCGTGCTCATAATGTTATTTTAAATTTTTACTTCCATATTCTTGAAGTAATTGTAATCTTTTAATCTTTTATGTTCTTCATCTTTATTGTTTAGTCCAAAAGAAATGCTTTCCTCAAAACCTGCAAGGAAAGAGAAGGAACAGAGGACACGACACTTACTTACAGACCTGCCTCTTCCGCCTGAGCTACCTGGTGGGGATCCATCTCCCCCAGACTCTCCAGAGCCAAAGGCAATTACAGCACCTCAGCAATCATATAAAAAGCGACCAAAGTAAGTTTTCTCAGGGATCTGCTTTTGTTTTTAAATTTTTGATTTGTTTATTTTTATGGGTATGAGTGTTTTGTCTGCATTTAAGTGCACCTGGAGCTGTAGTTACAGGGACAGTTTTTAGTTGCCATGTGGGAACCAAACCCTGGTTAAGAGGAACCAGTACTCTTGACCACTGAGCTGTATCTCTAGCTCTTTTGTTTTTGAGACAGGATCTCACTGTATAGCCCTCTATAGCCAGAAACTAACTATGTAGACCAGGCTGGCCTCCAACAAAGATCTGACTGCCTCTGTTTCCAGACATTTGGGATTAAAGACTCAGGGACTTTTTTCTTTTTTCTTTTTTTTTAATGGGTATGAGTGTATTGTCTGCATGTACGTAAACGTACCAGTGTTGGGCAATGCCTTAGGAGGTTAGAAGAGGGCATTGAATTCCCCTAGAGCTGTTACAGATGGTTGCTAGCCACCATGTGGGTATTGGGAATCAAACATGGGTCCTCTGCAAGAGCAGCCAGTTTTTGTTTTTGTCTTTTTGAGACAGGGTCCCCTTGTAGCCCCAGCTGCCCTGGAACTTACTATGTAGACCAGGCTGGCCTCAAACTCACAAAGATCCACCTGCCTCTGCCTCCCAAGTGCTAGGATTAAAGCTGTGCGCCACCATGCCCGGCCGATCAGCCAGTCTTTTAACCCCTGAGCTCTCTCTCTAGCCCCTGGATCTACAATTTTTTTGGTCTTTTTTTGAGACCGGGTCTCCCTGTAACCCCAGCTGGTCTGGAACTCATACTATGTAGACAAGGCTAGCCTTGAGATTTGCCTGCCTCTGCCTCCTGAGTGCTAGGATTAAAAGTATGCGCCACCATGCCAGGCCCTGGATCTACTTTTAATTCAAGTATTTTCCTTTGTTTAGATCGAAATTTTACCTGTCTTCCACAATCCATACTAGTTAGTTCATAGAAATATGGGCCCAAAATATATATCTTTTAATTTTATGTACAAAAGTCTTCCTAGGAAGACTCTCCATCTGTTCCTACAGATACCTAGCTATGTTCTTTTAGAAGTCCATGTACTTAGTGAATGTTCATTCCTCATGCACACACAGATTTTTTTTCCTTCTGTAGACAATCTCACTCAGTAACTCAGGTTGGCCTGGAAGTAACTATGGGTTCCATGCTCATCTAAGACCTGCAACAATCTTTTTGCCTCAGCCTTTCAGGTGCTATGATTACAGGCCTGAAGCACCACTTTCAGCTCCATTGTGTCTTGAGTTCATGACACAGGACTATTAAAGAACAAAAAAGCCCTTTAAGGCAGAATATGTCAGCCATGTACACATTAATGTAAAATTAATAAACGATTTTTTTTTTTTTGGTCTTTTTGACACAGGGTCTCCCTGGCCCAAAACCCACTGTGTAGACCAGGCTGGTCTGAAACTCACAGAGCTCCACCTGCCTCTATCACATCATAATTTTTTTAAATATTTTATTTATTTTTATTTTAAATGTATGCTTGTATTGCCTGCATGTAGGTAAGTGTACCCCTGTCATGCAGTGCCCATGGAGGACAGAAGAGGCTCTCAGATCCCCTGGAGCTGGAGTTATGGACAGTTGTTAGCTGCCCTGTGGGTGCTGGGATTCAAACCTGGATCTTCTGCAAGAACAACCAGTGTTCTTAACCGTATTTTATTTATTTTTATTTTAAATGTATGCTTGTATTGCCTGCATGTAGGTAAGTGTACCCCTGTCATGCAGTGCCCATGGAGGACAGAAGAGGCTCTCAGATCCCCTGGAGCTGGAGTTATGGACAGTTGTTAGCTGCCCTGTGGGTGCTGGGATTCAAACCTGGATCTTCTGCAAGAACAACCAGTGTTCTTAACCGCTGAGCTATCTTTCCAGCCCCACATCATAAATATTTTATAAATTGGTCAGGTCATTTGATTGTTAGCATTCCTTTTTCTTTTTTTAAAAAATTTTATTATTTTTAATTTATGTGTATGTGTGTATTACCTGCATGTAGGTAGGTGCACCTGTGTTGTGCAGTGCCCTCAGAGGTCAGAAAAGGCTGTCAGAGCCCCTGGGACTGGAGTTACAGACAGTTGTTGACTGCCATGTGGGTGCTGGGATTCGAATCTGGGTCTTCTGCAAGAACAACCAGTGTTCTTAACCACTGAGCCATCTCTCCAACCCCTGCATTCCTTTCTTAATAATAAAACTAACACATCATTGAGCACATATTAACTGCCTGTTTTGTTATTTTCATAGTTGCCTTAGAATATAAAGGTTCTTTTTTATTTGGCTGTTAATGGACATTGAATCCATGACCTTGCTTATGTTAAGCAAGTCCTCTACAACTGAGCCTTTTCTCTTGCTCTGAATGTGTTAAGAATGTTCTTCCCATTTTATAGTTACAGCCAAACTCAAGAGGTCAGAAAGTAAATGATGCTTTTATTATCCAGAATTCCATCATGATCACTGTGAGATACTGTTTAAACTATTTTATATCATTTTATTTCTGCTGTATCAATACAATATTTATAAAAAGGAGCCAGTCAATTAATTGTGAAAGATAATGGTTTCACTGATTCTATTTTTAGAATTTGTTGTCCTCGATACGGAGAAAGAAGACAAACAGAAAGTGATTGGGGGAAACGGTGTGTGGACAAGTTTGACATTATTGGGATTATTGGAGAAGGAACTTATGGCCAAGTATATAAAGCCAAGGACAAAGACACAGGTAAGCAGTCATATAAAATTATTTGTGTCAAGTTTAACAATTTAGCAATTACTGATATTTTAAATAGATTTAGTAAAAGTAAGCTTTAGGTTCTAATTTGTTCTCTTTTTGTGTGTGTTTGGTTTGGTTTGGTTTGGTTTGGTTTGGTCTTTTTAAACAGGGTCTCCCTGTAGCCCCAGCTGGCCTAGTATTCACTGTGTAGACCACATTTGCCTCAAACTCACAGAGATATGCCTGCCTCTGCCTCCCTAGTGCTGAGACTAAAGGTGTGTCTCACCCCACCAGGCCCCTAATTTGTTCTCTTTAAGAGCTAAATTTTAGCTACACTAAACTTTTCCAAAAGAGTAGTAGTCATACATCCATCAGTGTCTGTTCCAGGACCTATACCCAAACTGGCAAATTTCCAGGTTTCATATACAAGCTTAGACTACTTAGCAAGATCCTGTCCTAGAAAGGAGAGAGACTATGAGAACACCAGAATATAAGATTAGGAACTGGATGAGTAGGCCAGTGGTAGAATGCATGCTTAGCATAAGCTATAAGTTTTAATACTCAGCCTCTCAAAGAGGAAGGGAAACATAGAGGTTTTATATAGAAAAACATAAAAATGCTTAAGTCTGTCTAACAGAGCAAGGACATGAAATGCTGGTGCCTGTAGGTAACTGAAAGTGCTAACTGATAATAATAGTTTGCATTTGTTTTGGCAGGAGAACTAGTAGCTCTGAAGAAGGTGAGACTAGACAATGAGAAAGAGGGCTTCCCAATCACGGCTATTCGTGAGATCAAAATTCTTCGACAGTTAATCCACCGAAGTGTTGTTAACATGAAGGAAATTGTCACAGATAAACAAGATGCACTGGATTTCAAAAAGGACAAAGGTACTAACAGAAATTTCTATTTCTAAAACATTGATTGAAACAATTTCCTTTTTTTTGTTTTTTTGTTTTTTTGTTTTGTTTTTTTTTGTCTTTTTGCGACAAGGTCTCCCTGTTAGCCCCAGCTGGCCTAGTATTCACTGTGTATACCACGTTGGCCTCAAACTCACAGAAATCTGCCTGCCTCTGCCCCCCAAGTGCAGGGACTGAAGGCATGCGCCACCAAGCCTATCTCAACATATTCTTTATCACTGTTAAACTCCAGAGGCAGGTGGCTCTCTGTGAGTTCAAGGACAGCTTGGTCTACATAGCAGACTCCAAGCCACCTGGGGCTACAGGGAGACTCTGTCTCAAAGAAGTTGTCATCCAGGTAAGTAAAATATGCTGTGATATGTTTAATACATTTTGGGTGTCTCTCCCACTCCACCCACCGGATCATCACTTTTTTTCTTTGATAGTCTCCCTATGAACACCAGCCTGGGCTCCAGCTGTCCTTAGTCATCCTGCCTTATCCTCCTGAGTACTGCCATTGCAGATGCATGCTCCTACATTTAGATTTCCATGTTTATTGCTTTTACTTACTTTTCCTTTATAAAATGCACTTTATCTGCTTGTCTTTTGCAGTTTTCGTGTTTTTCTTAAGTTATATCAGGTCTTACTGAAATCTCTATAAAATACCTTAATCCTAAAACTTCAGAATGACCTGAAACTTGATATGTTTGTAGACCAGCTGGGGCTGAAACTCTATGTAGATAGGCCAAGCTGGCCTCAATCTCACAGAGATCTGCCTACTTCAGCATCCTGAGTGTTGGGATTAAAGTCATGTGCTGCCACACCTGTCCCAGATAGAGTCTTTCATTAATGGAATCATGAACATCTTTCGACATTTTAGGGATGCTATGAACCTGCCTATTCAAAAAAAAAAAAAATTTACAAGAGCTTGGAGAGATGGCTCAGTGGGTAAGTGTCATGCAAACATGAGGAACCAATATCCTGTGTAAAAACTGAGCATAGCTGTACATGCCTCTAACCCTGCACTGTGCAATGTAGAAACAGGTGGATCCTTGATGCTCACTGGCCAGTCAAGCCAAAATTTCGAGCTCTAAGTTCAGTGAGAGACACTTGTCTCAAAAAGTGGAATATCAGGCTCTGGAGAGGTTGCTCAGCTGTTTAAGAACACTGACTGTTCTTGCAGAAGACCTGGGTTCGAATCCTAGCACCCACATGGCAGCTAACAACTGTCCATAGCACCAGTTCAGGGAATCAGACAGCCTCTTTTGTCCTCCGCAGGCATTACATGACACGGGTGCACTTGCCTACATGCAGGCAAATCACGCATACATATAAAATAATAAATAAATTTTTTTTTTAAAAAAAAAAGTAAAATGTAAAGAGGGAGGTATCCAAAGTCAGCCTTTGACTGCCACATTTGACACATTGGCCAGCATATCTATACATATATATATATATATATA